GTTGGAGGTTGCTAATATGTTAATTGATGTTAGGGTATGATATGTATGATCGTTACAATTTGTTTGGATTGAAGAAAATGTGAAAGACAAGTGAAATTTTGACTCTAGAATCAGTGGCAATCGGTTACTAGTAGTTGGTAACCGGTTACCTATGAGAAAAATGAGTTTTTGGACTATTTTGTGTCTTGTAACCAGTTATACACCGGTGGCAACCGATTACCACTGAATGTATGGGAAAATGTATAATTTAAAACAATGTGTATTAAGTTTCATAATTCGGAGTAAAATCATGCTTGTTATCTTTAGTTATTTTAGTAAGCTTTCATTTTATGAACCCTAACTGTATCACAGACGATGTGTCAACATGCTTGAATGTTTTATTCATGATTAATGATAACTAAATCATCTTATGAATACCTCACTGGATTACTTAGTGTATAGTTGTATAATAGTATGAGAGTTATCATATCATTCATATATGTTAAATCCTTATTAAATTCAATGATAGGATTCTATGATTAATCAGTTTAAACTTAGGATCATAGCTAGGTGAATATGATTAGTAAAAATGAACATAGGTTATGATGAATAACTTAGGTTGTGATACTCGATTGTGAAAGGTACCTCAATATGTACCCGTGAGCGAATAGACACTTGAGATTAATCATTCCATCTACGAGAGTATGGATATCAACGGGATATAGAATGTGAGGAGGATGCTTCCTCGCTCATTACCCCGCCCCCAATTTTTTCATGTCCCCACCCTAAATCTCTGCCTCAGGGGAATAGTTTTGCTCATCCCCATCCCCACAAATCCATATGGTTCCCACAGAGATCCATGAACATCGATTTTTAATAAAATATGTATACTTTTCGATCAAAACTATGACCCTAGTATTTCATTATTTTTTCTACTTTAAAAAAACTCATATATTTTGCATTTTTCGTTTTTAAGATAAAAAAAATATCTTGCATCAATAAACAAAAAAAATGAAAATGCAAAAACACTTGCAGTTGCTAATATTTCTTATTCTATCAAAAAATGAACATCCAACATCACAAGCCTAAGACATATAAACACAACGAACTCCCTAAAGCAACAAACACGCAAAAATAAAGTTACCCACAATGATGGTTAGTGTTGTATTGATAAGAACAAACAAATAAGTGTGGTTGTTGTGATGTTGATGAGAACAGGTGAGACGAGAATTGGAGGAGACAACGAAAATTGAGAGAGAAAAAAGGAAACGGTGTGTACCATGTATGTATTGAGTCCACTTTCTTAGGGCCGCGTACTTGGGTAATAGTACAATACAATGAAATAAAAAAATAAAATGATCTTTGTACGTCAGTGTCTGACTCATCATTTCCTAGTATATTAATTATTTATTTATAAAAAAACAAATAAAATCATATCATTATACATTATATATATATAATTTAAATAATATGGTCAGGGTTGGGGAATCCCTATGGGCGGAGGGTACTTCCCCAATCTCTGCAATAAAGTGTCATGGGGGAGCTTTTTCCTCCATCCCCGTCTCTGCGGAGAAAAAATCCCCAACTTCAGATTCCAAAAACATAATTTCCAAGGGGATCCCCGTTAATAGATGAAAATCGACATCTCTAACAAGAGTGCCCTAATGGCATGGAGGGTGAGCTCTAAATGGAAACATGTCATGATAATGTGAATGATGAGAATAATCACGAGGTGATTAATGAGTGTAATCACGTAGCGATTAATAAGAGTAATCATGTATCCTAGAATAACCCTTTTTTGTGCTTATCCTGAGTTCGACTCTAATGTAAAGTAGTGACCGAGATAAAGGAACCATTGATTCGTAACCTCAAAGTGGGTAAGAGTCCCTTAGAGGAATGCACCTCAAAGTGCATTCGAGTCGCATAGAGGAATGATCCTCAAAGTGGGTTAGAGTCCCATAGAGTAATGATTCTTAAAGTAGGTTATAGTCCTATGGCGGAGCAATTTTCACAATGGAAAAGATGAACCATTGTGCGGACATCTGTGACCCGTGTCCCCTTTTCCTAGATGTAGGATAGGCTTGGGAAAGTTGTCCGACGTGACAAAGATCTGTGACCTGCGCCCATAGTCCCAGACGTGAGATTGGCCAGGAAAAGATATTTTGTGTTTGCATTTCCGAGTAGTGATTTATTGTGTTGTGTGGACTCAAGTTCATATGTTTCCATACAAAATGGAAATCCAATAGATACTTAATATTTTATTCTATTGTGTTAATGTATACACGTAGGATAAAGTTGAGTGATTTGTGTTAGAGTATCGTATAGCGACTCTTTAGAGCCAAATGGACCCATAAGATTGGAGAACCTGTTGAGACTATCATTTCACCCCAATTATACTGATGAAGATGTCTGAAGATTTTACGTGTTTTGAGTAGCTTCTGCTATTTATGTACATATCTTAGCATTTTGATTAGGCACTTTTGTATATCATGTGTCATATGATGTGTTATAAAGTTTGAACATGTATATTTAAATGATGTCGTTAAACACTTATGTTGTATTAGTACCAATTAATATTACCTGTAATAATATTTTAGATGTATACTATATATGGGTGTTACACCTTCCAATTGAGGCGTAACACACCCTGTCGTAGGATTCTCCTGTGGATGGACTGGATGAATATAATACGGATTAAATGTAACATCTGGATTTGAAGATGATTTCTACCATTATTGTTAGTATTGATGTTGTTATTTATCTCCTTTGCAAGAACACATAGAAGAGCTACACGAAACCCAACCTCTACGAAACCATAAAACAATTTCTCATCTTTAAAAACAAACTAATAAGAGAAAACAATACAAGCTGAGATATAAGAGTTAGTTAGCTAAGTAGCATAACTGCACAGACTAAACTAACTATTTCTCTATCAAACTCCAACTAACCGCTAGAAGTTACTTATTTTTTCCTTCTATTTCTAATTTACAAAATATTTTATGAAATAATAACTAGAAAATAGTAAAACCAAACATATTTTCACTATTCTCATTTCTTGAAAATGTGAAATTGAAACGAATAAATTTAACAAATCTTGAAAATGAAAATATATTTAAGAAAACTAAATGAGAAAATATTTTTGCAAACCAAACTGGTCTCTCTAAAATTTCCAGTTATTGGTTGCATCATTAATGCCATTATTCCAAGTAAAATAGTCCATCATTCTTGGTGGCATGTACTGCTAGCACAACTTGGGCTTAATATATTAGATATCAACCAACTTTTTAACTAAAGAAAAAGAGTTTTATGTGCTGCAAATACCAATAAAATAAAATTAACATACTAAACATTAATTCTTATTTCTCTTCCTTAACTTCAGTTAACAAGCGAGCTAAACCATTTGTTAGAGCAGATGTTGAAGTCAATGCAGCCATCAATATGCTAAGACACTGCAACATAACAGCAAAACAAAGTAAAATAGCAAATGCTAAATAATCACCAAGTAAACCAATACTAGAAGTACAAAATGTGAAGATGAAAGTTCCATAAGTTTTATTCTTTCTTACCTCCTTAAGGCCAATGGTGACAACCTCTTCCTTCAAGTCATCAAGAGAAGTTTCCGAACTGTCAATTAAATTTAAAGATGAAATTGGAGACGATTGTGTGACGATCAAGTCATCTGTAGCCACGTACATTTTCAATTCCTTCACATAACCTTCTCGACTTGCTCTCCATGCTTTAAAATTATCTAGTAGAAACATATTTTTACAGTTTTTCTCATCTTTCCTATATTCATCACTTATGAAAAATTGATTATCAATAATACTTTCTTTGAAACTTTTACCGTGATAATAACAATAATACTCCATATCTGGTTGAATAGGTAATAAGTTATTGCTTAGTTTGAATTGCGGTGCAACTTGAGGATCAACAAGCCTTTTCTTGGCTTTTGTAGACTTAAAATACTTGTTTTCTTCTAAATCAACTATGCTCCTGTACAATCTATCAATACTTCCCAAAGAACAATTTTCACCTATCTTGGTTACAACTCCTCCCAAAGGAAATGTGAGAAAAGTTAATAGCAAATCAACAAAATCTTCTTCCCCTTGAGCATACAATACCTTGCCATCTGATTTTCTTATCACTAGCTTTACATTAATTTGGATATTAGCATTATCTTCAACATCACAGTTCGAAATCGTTGATGACTCTTCAAGGGACGGTTCGTTTTCCAAAAACGTATCTGTTAAAGGTGACATGGAAATCAAAGCGCACTTCAAAAGATCCAGCACCTATACAAAATTCAAATCAATAGAGCATGAAAAATCTGCAGTATTTGTCTAGGGCAAACAACAACTAAATATGATTTCAAGAATACAAACAAAAAAAATTATATAAACCTTTTCCTTAGTGACTTCAAAAGTTGTTTCCTTTAAGGAACTTGTGGTTTTTATTCCACAGTTTTGGAGTAAACCAAAGCTTGTAACATGCTTGGAGTTTGGCATGACGATCAAATCATCAGTAATAACAAAAGAAGCACTACTTGTAACAAATCCGTTGTGGAAATGTTTGGGGAAAACTGAATGAGTCAAAGGATTCCCACCTGCACAATTACTATCAGAGGAAGTGTATAAACCATTACCGCAGCAGCCATCATCAACTATAGTACATAAGAAGTATGTAGACGGCGGAGTATCATCAATGTTAAGTTTGAGAGAGTTGCAATAATCTTGTGACGAGTTTATTGGTTGCAGTAACATTTTTTTATGTGTCTTTGTTAAGAAATATCTTGTGCTAAGATCGGCTACACTTTGATAGAGTGAGTTAAGACAACCGACTTTGACAGGTCCCATGTTTGAGTCTTTCTGAACAAGTCTTGCAATGGTTCCTAATGGTAATGTTAAGAAGCTACAGAGAACATCAACAAAGTCTTTTCCTGCCTCAGCAAATACAACTTTGTTGGTCTCGGTGTCTACTAGAAGTTTCAACAACACTGGCTCATCTGTTTTGTCATTAGCCATGGAAGAGAGAAGTTGGCTATGAAGAAGTTGGGAGTTTGAAATTTAAAATGCTGATAAAAATGTTTCTGTTGACAGTTCCAAGCAATATTGATACGATGGGGGCACAATAGATTTTAACAAAGTTTTTAATGTGAGTTCTTGGAAAAATAAAATGATAGTGATCACTTATGGGTTAGTGAAGTTATACCCACGTTTTAATTGTGCCAACTAATACCGTAAAGACCAAATTTATTTATTTTTGACTCAATGTTGGGAGTGAGGGTACTTGTGCATTTAACATTTCCCCATTCAGATAACTAGTGACTTTTTTAAGGCAAATACGAATACATAAATAAATCAAGGTCTCAAAAAGGATTACAAGTGGCACAAGTGAAGAATAAAGATTGGTGAAAGTATGAGTTCTGAGGGTGTGCTCCTCTCACCGCAAGAAAATTGCATCATAGCAAGGAGTTTATGCCAAGGGTAAAACACCTCGCAAAATAAGTGAGGTTGACAGTGTTGGTGCAAATGTAGAATAAATGATGAATAGAGAAATATTCTATTAAGAGAATGACGGCTACACACAACCACAAAATTGCAATGATTGTTACCGTATTTATAAGTTAATACTAAGGTTACTAGAATAAGATAAAAATACTAAAATACCCTCTAACAAACTTAGGGGCTAAGAAAATAGTACAACTAATAAATATGAATTACTTCTAATACCATCCCTTAATTCATATTCCATCAAAACTTGTAACACCAATTTCATCCCTTAGTCTGAGAAATTGATCGGTCTTGATAGCTTTCGTCAGAACATCTGCCAACTGTTTCTGAGTGCTGTAGTGTACAACTTCTAACACTCCACTCTGAACTTGATGTCTCAGAAAATGATATTTTGTCTCAATATGCTTGCTTCTCCCATGCAACACTGGATTTCTGGCAAGATTGATTGCAGACTTGTTGTCAATCATCAACTTCAGAGGTTTGTTTATTTTAATCTTCAGATCCTGCAACAGATTCAGAATCCACACAGCTTGGCATGCAGTAACAGCACCTACAATATATTCAGCTTCACAGGTTAATAACGCCACAACAGGTTGCTTCTTAGAACACCAAGAAATGGGACCTCCCAGAAATTTGAACAAGTACCCAGAGGTACTTCTTCTGTCAACTCTGTCTCCACACCAATCAGAATCTGAATAACTCAGAAGTTCTGACTCATCCTTTCTTCTAGAAGGAAACAACACTCCATACTTCAGAGTTCCCTTGATATACCTCAGAATCTTGACAGCAGCTTGGTAATGGGACAACTTAGGTTTACTCATGAACCTACTAACCATCCCAACAGAATAGAAAATATCAGGTCTGGTATTGCACAGATACCTCAGAGAACCAACCAACTGTTTGAAGGTTGTAGCGTCCACATCCTTTCCATCAGAGTCAGAATCCAGTTTCTGATTTGTATCAGAAGGTGTGACAACAATCTTACAATTCTTTAGTTCAAATCTCTTCAGAAGTTCTAATTCATACTTGAGCTTATGCAAAATGATACCTTTCTCAGAATATCTGAACTCCATCCCTAGAAAGTATGTCATTTTGCCTAGATCAGTAATTTCAAATTCATTCATCAGAACTTTCTTGAACTTGGCTATCTCATGTTCAGAACTTCCAGTCAATAGTATATCATCAGCATATAAACATACCAGAGTCATATTGCCTTAAGAAGTATGCTGAACATAGACACCGTACTCCATCTCACATTTCTGAAAGCCTTGCTTCTTGAAAAATGAATCAATCTTCTGATTCCAAGCTCTGGGCGCTTGTTTCAATCCATATAGAGCTTTGTATAATCTGTACACCATCCTGTTGCACCCCAAAACTTGCTCAACCTTTTCTTGCCTGATTTATGTTTCATTGCATTTCATTTGCATAGTTACAGCATGTACATAGTTCAATCATTGGCATATCATAGCATAGCATGCCTCCAACAAGGGATCAAGGGTGTCTATCAAGAGACGATCCTAGCAAGAGGTCTTATCCAAGTGTGAAAGTCATCCAAGCCATCAAGAAGGGATTTGAAGTCTTGAGAAGTTTGAGTGCCTACATGTGGGTTTTGCTCCTATCTTGAGGAATATTGAGAATCATCAGTGGGATGAGAAACATGGGATGTGAATGTGAGGTGTGTATGGATATCATGGGATGTCTAGAGGGCCTTATTGAAACTGAGGCATGTCATTGATTCAAGTACAAGAGCTATAGTTGAGGTGCAGTCAACTAGGGTTTCATCTGGGTCAACCCTAATTCAATTGAGTAGTTGGAGAGCATCAAAGCCTACTTTGAAGTCAGGGGATTCATGGATTGGTATGTTGATACATGTGTGGTGTTTTGCCAAGATTAAGCAAAGAAGATCAAGAATGTGGGAAGTTGATAAATTAGGGTTTCAGTGTAAAATCCCTTGTTTAGTGCCTGACTTCAAAGCCACATAAGTCAAAATACAAGTTTCAAATGGATCTTTGGCCAACATGAAACTTGTAGATCATCTCAATACCTTTAATTTGAGTACTAGAAGTCCTCAAGGGGATTTATAGAACTCAAGTTATGGTTCTTGCAAATTACAGGTCATCAGGGGACTATGAAATTTATCTGTGAAAGTTACTTGATTTCCAAGAAACTTTTTCCCTTCAAGGAGTTTTCAAATGGATTCTTGGCCAACATGAGAGTTTTAGATCTTGATCCTATCTTTCCATATAGTACTAGAAGTCCTCAAGTGGATTTATAGAACTCAAGTTATGATCTTGGCAATCCAGGGGTATTTTGGGTATTGGTGATTATAGGTCATTCTCAAGCATGGGTCAAAATCTCCAACTTAGGGGCCTCAAATGGAAAACTTTTCAACTAGAAAGTTGCTCAGAATAGGGTTTTAACCTTAACCATGCATCAAGGAGGCTTTGAATTGGCTCATAGGAGAAGTTGGTTTGAAATGGCTTTGAAATGAAGAAATTAAAGTCATTTAAAAGGAAAAAATGTGATCTCTTGATTTTATGGCCAAACCAAGCAATGTTATATACCAAATTAATCAGAAAAGACATTTTAAAGATGATGACATTACCATATTTTGGATTTGAGGTCATTTGCACATGGTTGCCTTTTGTTACTTAAGATGGAAGTAACATAACCATCACACTCCATAAGGTCAAAAACAAGGAGAATGCACATCCAATTCAGTTCTAAATATCACAAGGTGAGAATTTCAGGTGAAATTGGAAGCTGAAACAGGGCAAGGCATGACTTTGGCATGTGAGATATTCAAGGGATATGAGAAATTGAATTTCTCATTCAGTTAGTTACAGAAGGTTCTGGAGGTTTCTAATCACTTCTATATATTGTATGCAACTGATCCAGATCATTTTTGGGGCCAGCATTGGAGAGAATCGAGAGAGAGCATTTGAAAATTTCATCATTGCATCAAGAATCAGTTTTGAGGATTAAGGAGAATTCAATGCAAATTGATCATTGGAGTAGCTTGGGAAGTGATTCTTGAGTGATTCTGCAAAAGATTGGAGGTTGATTCAAGCAAAATCTCCATCTGTTCATCATTTCAAACCAGGTCTGCAACTTTCTTCTTTTAGCTTAATTCATAGGGAGATGCATAGAAATTGTTATGTGGTTAGTTTAGGGGTGGTGCTTAGATGGATTTCAGTCCAAGAATTGAACAATTCGTGACATTTTGAGTGTGATACCATTTTCTGTTGAAGCTTATAACTTGAGATTCTTGAGGTATTAATGGTGTTTGGATAGCAAGTTTTAATCAATGAAGAGTGTAGTTCATGTTAGTGCCTTTAATTTCAAGAATCGTGACAATTGAAGTTGGATGAATTTTCTGCAACTAGGATCGGATCTGGAGTTAGAGGGAGAATCAATAAAAATGGAGGTCATTTTTGGACTCAGGGGATGATTTTAAGTGGGATAGGGTGTTTCATTTTTGTGTGTGATGCGTTTTTGGGATTGCCTCGCCGGAGAAGACGGTGGCGCAACGCTCAGGCCACCGTATGAGTTTCTCCCTCCATTTTCAAATGTTTTGGGGACGATGAACCAAAACCCTAGGATCTTAGTTTGACCCTTGACTGAAGCTTAATCCAATGGCCACGATTACAAGCTGAGCTCTGAAGGGATGGAATTTTATCAAAACGCTCTGTTTCATTTAAACGTCATTGGGTGGGCTTAAGTAGTTCTTGCCATCCACACCCCACCTTGGGCCCAATTGGAGATAATAACGTGAATGGATTGCTATTTGCCACGAGAGTTTTTCAATTTTCCTTTTTATTTTCTCTGATTTTCTTATGTGGTTTGGGCTTAAGGTTCATGTGCTACACGCACCCCCTCTTGGGCCCAGGTTTGGATTTCAACTGAAATTAATTGCTATCTGACACACAACTTTATTAATTTTCTTTATTTTCTTTTAATTTCATATTTTTCATATAGTTAGGAATTAATTCACCATAAATAGAAAAATAAATCTTTTTAGGCTAGATTTTTTTTTCCCTAACTCCTTAGACTGTGTAGAATTTTATAGGCTTAATAGTTTCGTAATTCATGCATTTTATATTTTTATTGCATTTTTGGCATTTCAATTGGTTTTATTTTCAATATGTTTGATACATGATTTTGTTGATTTTATTGTGAATGATTGGTGATGAATTTTGAGTTGATTCTTTTTGGGATGGATAGCTTAGATATGCATGTCCCCATAGTAATTTTCTCATATTTTTGTGAGAGAATTTTAGGCTAGTTTGAGCATTGAACATTAGGTGTTGTAGAATTAGGGTTTTAGGATGATACCTTTAGGTTTAGGGCATAGTTTTAGGTCCAAATGAATGGTTAACCCCCTGGTTTTTGTATGAGAGATTCATAAGAGGTTTAGGAACCCTTAGTAATTTTTGTAGGATTTTACAATCATTTTTGGTATTTTAAGTAGAATTAGTTTTAAGACTAACTTCTAGGTGTTTCTGATGAAC